TTGACACAGATATACACACAAAAAAAAACTGTAAAAATCTGCAGTTTCTCTGCAAAAAACCTGCAGAGGAACTGCAAAGAAACTGTAAAGACTTTTTTGCAGATCTGCATCAGATCTTTGGTCAAATTTTGGCACATCTGCAATGCAGATCTGCTTCAAATCTGTAGACACCCTTTGCAGAATCTGCAAAGTTACTGCAAAGATTTTAGCAGATTTATGTTGCAGAAAAATCACCTGGGCACCGGACTTCGAAATTTTCAAATGGAATTAGAGTCTGGGGGATCCCCCAGACTCTAATTGCATTTGAAAATTTCGAAGTCCGGTGATATGCAATCGAAACTAAATGGCATTTTATGCGCGGCTTATAGCGACCTCGCTAGTCACTCAATACATTTGTGCATACGTGATAACAGCTATATATAACTCCCGCGATATCCTTGAATTTGTAACGTTCAGTTTTAGTCTTAAAGACTGCACATGTGTTGAGCAGCAAGTTAAGAAGGGTCAAAAGTATATTTTCATTGGTTTTCTTTCATCGGGGCTTTAACTTTTTCTGACATAAATAGTCACAGTTAGCTGTGACTATTTATGTCAAGTGCAACTTAACTTTTCATAGCCTAACAAGACAAACTTAAGTTACACACGTTTACTATACAGCGTAAACACGAACCGTAAAACTACTTTCTCTCATATGGTGAAATACAGACCATTTACTGCTAGTATTTTTACCGTTTGCGAAAATACACTGTTTTCCCATCGTTTACCGCCGTAAACGGTATTTGTTTTGACCGATCTGGATATTTGTTTAATACTTTTTAGAAAGGAAATAATATTTAAAGGTCAAACTATAGAATTGTTTCTTTCTTGAGCCGGGTTAGCTACTGACAAATAGCAGTCTTATGTGAGATGAGAATGTGTTATGAAATTGTCTCTTCAGAGGCTAATGGTCCAGTACTCGTTATAGTACATTTTATTGGTAAATTATCTTAATTTCAATTGAATTAAGTGCAAGACACTAGTATATCTGATTTCTAAATTTGAATACTCTAATGAAGAAATTGTGAGTTTTCTGTCAGAAAAAGTCTTTCATCATAATGATGCAATTCCCTGAATTATACAGTCTCCTATATAGCAAAGAGTTCACGCGGTTTTTCGAGTAGAGTTGTACTAATGTTTCAGTTTTCAGATACGTTTCATGGCTCGTAATAAAGAAAAACACGTTATCGGTTTAAATCGCCTATATCTCTCCCAGGCTGAAGAACGTATGTAAAGAACATTCTGCTCTTTTACTTCTACGTGTTCAGTTGTCCTTTTCTTCTCAGGAGCCAAAGCACGCAATCCTGCAAGACCAAATCTAGTCAGTGGATCGATACATCTTAGAATTATAAGAAATTTTTCTACCTGCTCTATTTTAGGCTCTACTTAATAGTGTTTCTGAAATTCGTCGCTGGTTGCCGTCAATTGTACGAGATATTGATATTAATTTAGCAGTAAGTTAATAGAAACAAAATAAACTCATATTCTCTACTTATCTCATTTTAGCAAACGATTGTTCCATGCTACACTGATGAGAAAGTTTCTCAAATATATGATAAAGTATCAAAATTAGAATATGAACATAAATGTTATAAACGAAAATTAGCTCAATTAGAATTAAAAGAAAAATATGAGACTGAAAACGACAAACTGTTTAGTTTAGATATTTCACATAGAGTTGCAAATGTTACACAAGCACAACCGTACAAAAAGAAAACGATCGTAGCTGGTAAGTAACGTTCGTTTATCTCAGAGAGTCTGACTATCTTGACGATAAGATAATGAATATGGATGCGAGTCGTGTCATGTGTTTCTGTTAATAACTCACTTTTCTGTGCTTCTTATTGTGTTGTATATACTAACAAATGTCCTTTATCGTACCGAATACAAGTTTTATCACCTCATAAGATAAGTCTATCCATTTATGTTTTTAGCTAACAGTTCTTTGGATGAATTTCTTACTAAACCATTTGAACTACCGTTATTAGCAAAAGAAGAATATCGTCCGACAGAAAAAAAAATGTTTATAGATATAGGAGTGAATGATGAACCATTAGATTCGACTAATAACGTATTAAATACATCTACATTAGTTGATTACTCGGATGATACAGACGATGATAATTAGAAAAATTTATCTGAAATCAAAAGAGAAAACAGTTTTAGTCATCGAGAAAGACGAAAAAGAATGCAAAAATGTGGAGTAAGTGAGAATGAGCGTGTATATGTTGCATTTCACATCGTTTTTTTTTACTTTAGAAGTTGACATGACTAAATTAGAAAATGAGAAGAATAAATCTATTAATGTAGAAAAACATGACAATTTTTTTTGTTGTTTTTAAAATAATCACATGTTTCTTTTTTTGTAAATATTATACAATTTTTATTTTAATCTCAATTTTTTAGTATCTACTCATTTTTATTAAAGCTTTCTTTTAGATGTTTTGCTTTTTTGCATTGACATGTTTCGTTTTATTGTAGATGTCTGTTCATGCAAGAAAAAAAGCAAAAAAAACACTTGAACAAGAAATTGTTGTTCAAGATGGTCAAGTATTTATGTTACCAGAAGAAACATTATTGTACATATTTAAATATTTAAATATTAGTGAACTTATTATTGCTGGCAGGTAAGAATAGTCATCTTAAAATAAGGATGATACAGTTCTAGTTCATTTCTTTTGAACGAAAACTGGTCACTTATTCTTTTCAAAAAATAACCTCTAGCTGTCACTAATTCTGGAAACAGTTGTTAGGAATAGTTGACAATTACAATTCTTGTAGTTTGAAAGAACTGATGTCTAATTCCCGTTGTTTTGAAAAGAACTGGCAGCAGTTCGTTCAATCAGTTGTTAGGAACTATGAGAATCGAAACTCTTCCACTCCTATCTTAAAACGAATCTTGTTTTTGTCTACTATTCTAAAAATTAATTTATCTTTAGTATATGTAAAGCTTGGCGCCGAATTGCCTACGACGATGAATTATGGAAACGAATTGATTTAACGTATCGTCCATCATCCGTTCATCAATTAATGACATTTTTTAAACGTTTTGATCGTTCAATAACCACTGAACTTCGAATTCAGGGTTTACCGAAAGGTTACACAAAATTTAAGAGAGTCAATTTATGTCAATGTTCAAAAAGTTTATGTGATCAAATTCAAAAAAGTTATAAAAATTTAAAAGATTTATACATGTTTGAGTTTAGTTTTCGTGAAACTCACGATCGTGCACAACATATTAGCTGTTTACCAAGAAATTTAGAAAGTATTCATTTGATCAAATGTGAAATGCCAATGATGACTATCCAAGGTAAAAGCTCATTTTATGACGAGCGATCTCTTTTCTTTACCTAAAATGGATGAATTTCTATTTTTCTGAATTTACTACCTTTTGTCCATCTATAAGTCTAAAAATATTACGTTAAAAACTTGATGTCTTATGAAGTTTTCACAATTTACTCTTTTTTCATTTTAGGTAATCTTGATTTTCTAATGGTGAAAAATTCGATGGATTTTTTTTTGCCTCGTTTACAAGTACTATCATTCAAAAATTCACCATGTATTACATTATTATCGGTCAGTTATCTACCAAAATTATGTCCAAATTTAATAGAATTAGATTTATCTAAATGTTGTCGTATTTCAAGTAGTCGCTCATTGTCAATTATGCTTATGTCTTACGAACGAACATTGCGTAAACTACATTTACAACAAACAAATATTGACGATGATACCATTCATTGTATTTGCCGAAAATTAAAACGTTTAGTATTTTTTGATATTCGTGAATGTAAGAATGTTACAATAATGATTGTACCAAATCTATGTACATTGAATCAGTTACAAACATTATTAGCTGAAGAACAATTGTTAAATGCTTATGTTGAAATGAAAAATATGACACAAGATGAAGAAAATGAAACAGACGCGATTTGTATTGATTAATAAATATGAATAAACATCATTTAGAGAAAAGATGTACCATTCAGATAGTCTCAGAGAATAAATATTCTCTACAGTATGTGTGCCGTTTTTCTTCTTTTTGTAAATTCAGATTTGTGTTTTGCTCGATATTTTTGATCGAATTATTATTTTTTTCTTTGTAGTTAACAAATTTGTTTTTTTATTTGTTTGAGTATAATTCGCTAAAAATTATAAAAAGAAAGATGAACAGTTTTTTTGTACACGCGTTCTTGTATTTTCGCTTGTAAGAAGTTACATAAAATCATTTGGCAATAGAGTACAATAGTTAGAAGCATTGCTGATGTATTCTGTTTTATTATGGTAATAGGCTCGGTAATCTTTGCAACTCCTCCTTTCAAAAGAATTATATATTAAGTTAATATATAAATTCTTTTCTGCTTCTGATCACATTGAGTCTCTGTTTATTTTTACAACTATTAATACCATCCAAAACAAACGTTCAGAGAATATTGACCGTATCAAAGTATGGTGACAAAAGTATTTTTACTACATCTATTTCTATTCAGGCGATGTTACCACAACAAGATAAAAATAGAGCTATTTGTATGTAGTTAAAGAAAATCTTTGTCTAAATATATGTTGAAAAGTCTAGATTAGTCTAAAATTAATGCTAATACTAATGACTACAGCTTACAAGAGTCTGATTTTAATTTAATTTTGGGAAGGGGTTTAGCAGACATCCACAACAGGTGAAAAATCCCAAAAAGTTGACTGATTTACTTTTCTTTAGTTAAAATCTTAGGTAATTCTTAAAATTATCGTGCTAAAATCTCAAAGAAAAGTACTCGTCTCATTAGTCTTGAGCCTTATCTGATTCCAGTTCTGTTAAAGTAAAAAATAGGCTAAAATCATGGGGATACTAAAAGTTTTAAAAACCTCATATGGTAAAACTAAGTAGTGCAAAATAATCCAAATGATCCTCTGACATGTTTCCAATCAATGCCTAGGTGGAATGATTTTTTTGCTTATCCACTCATGTCCTTCGATCTGAACAAAATTCGCTAAACAAATCCATTAAACCTGTGACATCGGACGCTATATTAGAACAAACTAGTAATCTACGAAAGAATAAATACTAGTGGTTCAGATGAGATAAAAAAAGAGTTGCAAAAGCAAAAAACTCGGAACTAAGATTTAATAACTTGCTTGACAAATGTTTTCTTTATAGTCAACAAAAGCTTTCTCAAACCATCAGATCATGTTGCAATTGTGAAAATTCGTTCTTCACAGCATGTCTCCGGTACCTGTACGGTTGTGTTTCGCCGTCACGCAAAACCTTTAAATCGACTATGAGTTCTTTTTCACAGCTATAATGGCAGGTTAATCTTAGACTGCTGACCTTATCAGACAGAATGATCTACTTTTCTATTTGTTGCGTTAAACCACACTACATAATTAGGCAAAAGATGAATACGTTTCTTTTGTTTTATCAAAACTGTTGACCATTTACTCCTGTTTCTCTTGCGCTCATGCTTATTGTTGTTGTTTTTTAAAGTTCATCGTGTTACATGCACAATTAAACGAACATCATTTTGAAAACAAACATAAACAAATGAAACGAAGGCACAAGTGCACTATCAACAATCCTCTACCGGAAAAAACAACGCAACAGAAAAAAAAAATTAGCACGCTAACGACTCCTGTCCCAAGATTGTCTTATACAAACATCAAACTTTTACACACATACAAGATAAAGCACCATTTCCTTCTGTTCATCCATCAAACATCAATTTCAGAGAAAATAAAAAACGATAACTGAGGCTCTTTCGAAAGATAAAACGAAGGAATGTATACAAAGTTAAAAGAAAAAAAAGTCATCCTCCCCTTGCCCTTTCTCCCACTGATATTTTGGGATGAATAAATAAGAATAATGAAATAAAAATAAAAACTAATAATAATATGTTTGTCTTTTACCAGTATAAAATTAAGATTTTTTCCGGATATTTATCATTCTTCCTCTTATTTAATTAAGCCATTCGAATACTTTGGATTATTTGAAATACAGCTGAACCAACAACAACAAAAACAAATAATGCTAATAGCCATGGGCCAACAGGGTATTTACCCTCCGAAGTTTTATTTGTCTTAGGAACATTGCCTAAACACATACAGAAATAGACGTAAGCAAGAAAGATGATGAAGAAAAATACGTGTCTGTAATTGTATATTAGAGGTAGAGGGATATGTTTACATAAACTCGGAAGAACTCACTACATACCACGTAATGTGACTTTCTTATTATGTAATTCAACTGCTCGTTTACGTTTTGTTTGATTGGCTGGCATTATTCAAAGAAATATGAACGATCTAAAGAGAAAAACATAACACTGTCTATGTGGTTTTTAATTACCATCAAAAAAAGATGAAACAGAGGCTGCGAGACGAACAAAGAATTACCCAGTTGTTTTGTCTGTATTTGTCAAGACCAAACTTGCCAGATGTTTAGGTCAGAAAAGCTGAATATAAAGTCGAAAAAGCGGAAACGCATTTTTCACTGTATTAATTCAATTTTCACCAAAAATGCAAAGGGTATTAAAAAAACTTTTCTAGGACTTTATGGTTGTTCACTTAAGAAACACAAAAGAAGTACAAAACACCATCTATAGTTGGCAATTTGAATCGATACTGGCTTTTAGTCGATCAATCTGTCTTATATAGAATCCCCGAAAAGCGGACAAATTGCGGACAGCGGACACTTTGCGGAAAAAACTACAGAAAGCGGAATTTGTCCGTAAAATGCGGACCATCTAGCAGCTCTAGTCAAGACTGACTCTCTACTCTTTATTCTCAAGGCTAATGTGTTTTGCTTGATGCAACGAAATCATACAGTTTTTTCTATCACCTTGAATCCGAGTTTGACAAAATTATTTTTAAACAATAACTCTTTCTTGAAATTCACGAATGAGATTTGTTTCCCTCTTACTACCGCATGATACAGAAATTTTTGGACAGTTTTATGCACTGTTCGTTTCATACAGTGTACGTTAAGGACTTACCAGATAATAACAAGAAAACACGATAAAAATTAAAACAGACGTGTAAACACGAATATTTGAGAGAGATGGATGTTACAGAAAATCTAGAAAAAGATAGAATTATTTAGGCAACTTGTTATTCTAACAAACCTAAAAACTGCAGAGCAGTTTAAGCCGTAAATTAAACCAATACTATCTATTTTTTTGTTCTACACATGCTATATCTATAGCCACGTAAATCCATGATCGTTGACCATTTTTTTGACCCATTTCAGAATTTTCTTTGTCTTGATGTATACACGAGTAATGAGAGAGCACACCAGTAGAAAGAAGAAAGAAATACAATGATGGTTTCTCGGTGACCAATCATTGATGTTTACTTATCATCGAGTTCGCTTTTGTTATACTATTACAATCAGTCAGCCAGCGTTTGGGTTTGTTTATTTATCTATTCTTCTCTTTCAAATTTACTACATTATGCGTTGCGTATTTTCTTTCCGTAGTAGAATAAAAGAAGATAGTTTTCTCAGAGTTTAGCGGTATATGCAAAAAATTTTTAAATAAGTAATAATAATAATAATAATTTATTTTAATCATCAGTAGATGAAAGTAGAATTCACTAACCCAAAAGAATTATTTTATCTTTAAACTAGTAGCATCTTTAATCACTGGTAAAACTTGTCTATACGCAACGAAATGAGATATGTGGTACGCCTTTTTCAGTAGATATTTTCTTGAAATCTCTATTGACGTCGTGAATTACTGTTTGTACTCTCGTTAAGTTTCATGATTATTAATGAAAGCGGTTATGCTGAATAAGCAGTTCTATTCTGTTTTTAGATTCTCAACTTGCGGTCATAATAAACAATGGCGTCAGCGGCACCATCTGAATGGGATCTGACAGAGGATGAATTAAAGTTAATTAAAAAACGTGCCATATTACGTCAACAAACGAAAGAAGAGTTTTTGAAAAAATCTCGTAATCCATTTAATCCGGCATTGCCAGGACATTTGGTATGGCTCTTATTCGAATGTTGAGGTCTTTTTTTATGTTGGATATGTTATAGGTTGATCCGGCTAATACGCGTCTCTATGCTTATCAACAAAATGTCTATCGTTATATGCAGACAACACCTCGACGATTTCTTGGCCCTGGGATTTTTGTTGCATGCTGTTTCTTTCTTCACGTGTACAATCAACGTCATCGAGTAAGTAAATTTGTGATTTTCTGTTTTTATTACATTTAATCTTATCTTTTTAGAAACGATTTCATCAACGATGTTGTAATGGTGAAGTTAAATGGCGTGATAGACCGGATTTTTGGTGGAATTCAAGTTCTATATAGGATTGGCAATAAACTAAATTGGACCGTGTATTTTCCCTACACATTTCCTATTTCTCAATCAATCAGTACTGTACAGTTTCGAAAGATTTTTTATCCATCTTTCCCTTTTGTGCCCTAGAATTGTTTTTCTTTTCGTTGCCTTTCTATAAAAAGCCTGTTTTTTTTTTTATAGTAAAAAGTTTTTCCTAAAAATGTTTATTACTTTAGTTAAAGATGCACTTAACAGTTCACTGGTACTTCGTAGACCGAATGCATTAATTTTCCATTTTCTTTTGATATATGATCATATCGCTTCTCGTTCTAGATCAATAATGTCATTTGAAGACAGTTATAGAACTCCAATCTTAGAGCATAACCATGTTACTATTGTTGTAAGTAGATCACTTTCAACACAAAATCCTAAATATCTCATTATATTTTGTCTTTTTTAGCCTGGTGGCCTCACTATTTTCACAGCTAGTATATTTATCGTTGGTGAGATGGTTAGTATATCTACTGTTTAACCTACCTTTTAGAGTCTGTCATATGTGTATTTTTAGGCCGGTACGGGAATGTTAGCTTTAGCAAGTGCCATGAATCAAGCAGGTTTGAAGAAAAAACCAGAGAAGAATTATATTGGCAACATTGTTCTTAACTTTTCAGGCTGGTGGGGTTTATTTTCAACATTTCTCTTATGTCTTTTATCTGGTTATTGTGGTATAAAATTAGGCGAGTGTTGGACAATGCTTCGACAAATGAGTAGAGCATATTGTGAAGGAGCACGATCACCATTTCAAATTATCGCAACGGAAGGCGCAGGAAGATTTGGCAAGTAGGTTAATGACATAGATTAACTCATAATTTCTATATATACAAGAATTTTAATTTTTTTATTTAGATATCTTTTAATTATAGTCATTTATTTTCAATTATTGGGTGCGGGTGTGGTATTTTTACTATTAGCTGCCCAAAATCTGCAAAGTTTATTTCATGCAATTAATGTTCGAATATTGTTTTGTATATGGATTTTGATTGTTGCCGCTTTTCTTATACCGTTTTGTTGGTTTGGCACACCCAAGGACAGTTGGTAAATCTAAAACACTTCGCTTAAAAAAATAATTATTAAAAGTTTTATTTCTTTTTGTCAGGATTTTGGCCGTTATTGCAATGATTTGTACTGCTATTGCCGCTTTATTCATAACAATTAGTGCATTACGAGATCATAGAAGTCATAAGCCACCAAGTCATGTTACATTTAAAACATTTTCATTTTCAATGGGTATCATGTTCTTTAGTTGGGGTGGTAGCGCGATGTTTCCTACAATTCAAGTTGACATGAGACGACCAGAACAATTTTATCGTGCTGTACTATTTGCGTATGCTATTTTACTCATATTTTATTTACCTATTCAAATTGTTGGTTACACAGTCTATGGTGGAAGTATAAATGATAATATTTTAACAGTATTACCGAAAGATTTTCTTCGATATTCGGTGGAAATATTAATCACAGGACATTTATTGATGGCTTTCACCATTGTATTGAATCCCATATTTCAAGGCTTTGAAGATGTAGTTAAAACGCCAAAACATTTTTGTTGGCAACGAATGGCGTTACGCAGTGGACTGGTGTTATTTTTGGCATTTATAGCTGAAACAATACCACATTTTGGACCAATATTATCATTTATTGGCAGTTCAACAGTATCAATATTAGGTTTCGTATTGCCTGTTATATGTTACCTTGTTATTAAAGTTCGATCAACACAACTTGTTAATGAAAGACAAATAGATACAATGTGGAGGTTTGTATACATTTTTGAGGCAACAGAAAAGTTACAATGCTAGATATGATTATCATGACGACTTTTTTTCTAGGGTAATTCCACTTTATGAACTTATTTTATTAGGATTATCTTTATTAGTTGGTTTATTTGGTGCTTTGGCTTCATCATTTTCGTCATTTTCCGACTTAGTTAATCCAAATTCATATGTGTTACCTTGTTTTATTAATGCAACATCTGCCGAAGGACCATCACAAAATGCCACTTTTTACTAGAAACGAGGAATCATTTTTCTTGATAAATTTCGTGCAATAGTGTGTAATGCATTCATTACAGCTACAATTCATTATTTTTCTACTGTGAGAATGTGAATAAAAGTTGTGTTTTGATTTGTTCCTAATCGCTCAATGTTTTTGTTTCTTAGTACAACGGTGCCTTTTTTTAATTGCTGCGAGAGACGACGTTTTATTTTGATACAAGAATTTTTGATATTTTTATATATCTTTTTAAGTAAAACTTTATTACAAACGTCTTTCTTCTGTTTTGTCGACATGAATAGTCAATTGAAAAAAGTATAATAATCAACTCGTCCCCTATTTTTGCTTTTTTAGAAGATGAGCGTGTTTACTTTTGATTACTAATGTTTTTCATTTAGCACTTAAGGCTTATAGTCGAACACTGTAGTAAACATTCAGAGTTCATCCAGCGACAATGAGATTCTACGAACGGTGCTATAAAAATAATTGTTTTAAAACACATTATATACCACCTTCGTACTATTCTCAGTACAGCTTTGTTCTAACAAAAAGTTTTCTCGTTGTTATTCAAGGTTTAGCTTTTTTGTTAGATTTATGTTTGAACGTCGATGGATTTCTACAATAATACGAAAAAACGAATGTTTACCAATTGTTATTTTAATCATTGCTATTTTTCTGTTTATTCATTATTCAAATAAAAAATATGAACATGATGCAAATCAGTATATGTTAATTGAACAAGAAATAAATGATTCAGAACGGTGTCCTCTCTATCCAGAAACATTGAGTAAGAGACGAGTGTACAATGTTTTCATAATTTATTATTTGGCTTTATGGTTGTGTTTTAGAAAATGAAAAAATTTCAACGTGGCCCATACCAAAATGGGAAGAATTGGAAAATCATATTCAACATGTTCAAATAGGTAAGATTTTGCTAATTATCTCTTAGAGTATTTTTAAGCTTGTTTTGTTTTATCCCTTTTTTTTTAAAGGTGGATTTCATTCGCCGAGTAATTGCATTTCACGTCAAGAATTGGCAATTATCATACCCTATAGAAATCGATTAGAACATTTGAAGTTATTATTAAAATATTTACATCAGTTTTTACAAAGACAAAAACGGCTTTATCGAATATTTGTTGTTGAACAAGTAGGAGAAAGAGAGAGAGAGAGAGAGAGAGAGAGAGAGAGAGAGAGAAATGAAACCATTTTTCTACTTCGATATACTAATTTTTTAGATTGGAAATGATACATTTAATAAAGGTGAAATAATGAATATCGCATTTAGTGAAGCATTAAAATTACACAATACGTTCGATTGTTTTATATTTCATGATGTTGATTTAATACCGGAGATTGATTTAAACGTTTATGAATGCGAATCAAAAGCACCAAGACATTTATCTCCAGCTGTCGATGAATTACGCTATGTGTAGGCAAATAGAGATGACGACATAATTTGACGCTGATTAAACGAGCTGCGTTAAATGTTTTGTCCAATTAAACATAACATTATCGTTTTTTCTTTCAAGTCTGATGTACAATATTTTGGTTGGAGGAGTTCTTGCATTGACAAAAGAGCAGTTTATCAAGGTAAATGGATGGTCAAATATGTATTGGGGATGGGGTGGTGAAGACGATGGTAAGATTTCTTCTACAAAATATGTTAATAACTTATTCAGTTTTTCGTAACATTATTTAGTTTTATCATTTTAGATATGAGTCAACGGTACATTCAGTTGATTATTTGAGAATTAAACTATTATGAACACTTCTTATTTTAGAATTATTAATGCAAGTTTTAAATTGAGTCGTCCACCAAATCACATTGGCCGTTATAAAATGATTCGTCATGAAAAACGTGAACGAGCGGTGAATAGGTAATTTGAATCAGTTCAACATTGAAATAATCAAATAGAATTATTTATACACTACACTTTTTTTTTACATACATATTATTTTTTAAATCATGAATATAGTCTGTATTCGTAGTTAACTTGATAATTTTTTGTTTTAGACGAATGTTGTTGCGGACTTGGTTTCGTTATCATGACGATGGTATTAAACAAATCGCTAAATTAAATTATACAGTGAAAAATATTGAACAAAATCATTTATATACAAATATATCGGTGGATATTGGTCCAAAACCAAATATAACAGAACAGACTTTTATGAATATTCCTACAGTTAACTGGGGTGCAACATAAAATTATCCCTTTTTTTTCTCATAATTCTTTTTTATTTTTAAAAAAGAAAAACTCGTCCATATTCTGATAATATTAGATTTCTTTTTATCTAATAAACTTATTTTTTATATATAATTTTATTAATCTTCACTATATCTCAACAACATATCATAACAATTTCTTTTTTATGCCATTTTACTAATTTCTTTTTTTAAACGATACAAAGTGTTTGTATATCAGATCAAAATATTGTTGATTTCATTTTTAGGTTATAATAAACGTCTGTCAGTCAATTCTGACATTTAAACATGAACTTTATCGATGATAGTGAAGATTTAATATTTGATATGGGTAAGTTAGTTACTTGTTTGTTACAACTGAATATTATTTATATTTATTTATCTCATTTAAGATCCATTAGTGGCAGATGAATCATCGGTATCAAGTTATTATTCAATATCAAATACATCTGTTTCATCTTCATTATCGTTGGAAAGTTTAGGTAGTGGTGGAAAAGACGAAAAAAAACCACACGCTAAAATATGTGATATAGCCGATATTTTAAATTTGGAATCATTCGAAGAAGAGAATAGACTAACTGGTAGTGAACAACATGATAAAAATTTTTGGATTTTTTTTGAACAACAAATATCCTACAACAATAATGATGATTGTGATTCAATAGTACGATGTTTACGAACAAAAGCACAAGAAAATCAAACATTGGGATTCGAAAAATCAAAAGTCGATCTATGCGATCTAGTGAAAGGTAAAGGTTTTTAACTGATAGATACGTCTTATCTGAATATCTTGCTTCTGTATATTTCAAACCAATTACAAATACTTGATTTTTTGACAAGTTTTTTTCTATGCACTGATAGACATAAGACAAAAGAATAGATTCAAGAAGAAAATGTATGTTTTGTTTAGGATCGAAGCAACTATCTCCCAGTGATTATAATCGTTCGTTATACAATCGTCCAATTGCATTTGAAAAAGATTCTCGATTATGGGCTCGTAATTTACTTCATACGTTTAAAACAGGTAACAGTGTTCCTACGAGCAATAACGATAATAGTAAGAATCAAATAGAAAACATATTATCCGATAGTAATAGTTCTATTTATAATGACAATTCATTTGAAGCAAATGTCGAATATATTCAAAAATTAAATGATGAAAATAACTATTCCGCTTATTTAAATTATTTACAGTCAAATCGTTCTAAATTATGGTATACTTTAACAGATTCTCTTGATGTTATCGATGGTCTCTTAGGTAAAATTGTCTCGTTTTAAATATAGTTAGTGAGTCAGATATCATACTCCGTTGTTTTCAAATCGAGTATATATATATGGTTGCTTTGATTTCCATCTTATTCACATTTTTTTTGTTATTTTGTATAATAGAATAATGTATGTTCGTTTTTTAAAAACGACACAAGCCAATAGCAGGGCATGTTTGTTTATATAGGCATTCTTTTTTTTTGTTGTTATTGTTGGTATGATGAATCATTCTTTATCTATTTTTTCTCGTAAATATTTGTTTTTTGTTCATGTTCAGTACTGCAAGACTTTTCTTCTACTTATGGTCTTTTTTTTACAAATACTAAAAATATCTCGTGCTCAAAAAGCATGTTAGTACTGATAAAACAATAAAAATGCGCGTCTTTTTGTTACAGAATTATCTGGTATTGTTTCCTTAATACAAAATTCTGACTTACGTTCTTTTCCTCCTCAGAATAGTTGCATTTGTGTTTGTACAACAGGAGCACAAGATTCAGTAGCTAAACTAATAACGGCACATCTAACATAGTTTCAGTATTGTCTACTATTGAGAATTTGTCCTCTGAAATAGATTATATTCAATTTTAAATTAATCCTCTAAACGATCGATTTATGGGCTAGTAATTTTCAAGTCAATTTATTTTTACAGAGTATTTGGCTAAATATAAAAAAAGTCTAGAAAAATATATCGTCATATAACGGACGATATTTTGTTATTATGTAGTAAGTAATAAACAAATAAACAATATACTATTATCTAGTTTTATGTTGTAACCAACTACTACTCACAAAACCTACATAACGAAAAAAAAGATGTGCTTACATTGTTCCAATATAATCATTTTTTTGATATATATACGATGGATTTACTGTCGAACGTCTTGTATTTAATCCTTGTTCGTCTGATGAATCAATGGCTGCAAAATAATCTAAACCTGTATAATAGTGCATTACACGTGGTTCACGACGTGTTAGCGGTGCACCACTACTTCTTGGTGTTAAAAAGGGTTGTCCTGTAATACCATTATATCGATTTTGAAATGGTGTATTTTGTATTGATATTGTTGGTGCATACATGACACCACGTGAGATATAATCGGGTTCCGAAAGATAACCATTTGATGTATTTGATCGTTTTGTATTATGCCAATAGGATGGTCTATACTGTGATGATGGATGAACAGATAATTCTGGTACAAATGTGTGCGATTGTGGTTGTTTAGGACGTATTTGAGTAATTTGTGTCGATGATTGAGATGATAGTAAGCGAGGATTATTTTGTTGATAAGAATAACCGGAAGGATTTTGTAGCTGTTGCTGTTGTTGACTCATTTCATCGTTGTTGTAACCTAAACAGTTACAAGAATTTGAAAATAAAACTATTCTCAAACTTGATTTCAAACGCATTCAAATTTCGAAATTAAATACATCAAATTGAAGCTATACATCAGTTTTTCCCTATGGAAAGGACTTAGAAATAGAAGTCCTCATAATCCCTATAAAATATAACTCATTCTACAACTTTGTTTCTTATCTTTTTTTTATGCATAGTGCTTTATGATTTGATTTGATTTTCGAAAAAATGATTTATTTTGATTAAAATTTTTGATGCTGCATTAATAATTTTCATGACATGATACTAACTGTTGAGTCAATTCGAAGAATTTTGCCTAGCGTTGGTTTCAATAATATAAACAACAGAAGAAACATATTGTTGTCATATGCTTAAAAAAAATTGGTGATGAAAAGGCTTTTTTCTGGTGATTAGAAAAACAGATAACAAAAGAAAAGGATGACTTTGAAGTAAATGATACATTTCAACAAACGTTCACTAAATTCGTTTATCTGCAGTTTGAATAAAAAGATGATGATTTGAAAGATGACGCTTGAGCGAACTTGCAGAAACACAAAATTCTCTAGGAAATTTATATTCTAAATATGCGAAATGAAGATAACCTGTTGTTAAAATTCTGCTTCATTGGTTTGATGACAATCCCTCATGCAATTTTCTCACCTTGTCGTTCTTGCTGGGACAACAACACCGATACATGGTGTTGTTGTTGTTGTGGTTGATATTGTTGTTGCTGTTGATGTTGTTGATATTGTTGTTGCTGTTGATATTGTTGTTGCTGTTGTTGTTGCTGTTGATGTTGTTGTTGCTGTTGTTGTTGAGCTATATTTGTGCTATTGGGAGTATATGGTGTTAACAGTACTTGATGATTTGGAATGTAAGGAGCAGGATTAATATCATCATTATTTGTTGTTGCTGTTGACGAATAAGGTGTTAAAATAGGAAGATTTGGTTGTTGAACGGGACGTATGGCATATGATTTCGATTTTTTATTTTTTTTTCTTGACTGGGTCACAATTTGATAGGAAAAGGCACCGACTGGCAGTTGAAAGCTATCTGGCTCTTCGACTGTGTCTAATATCATATCATCGTCCATTCTAAAATCGTAAAAAATATACGGTCTTTCTATGTAAAAAAAACTAAAAAATGTGTGACATACGTGTCAACTGTTTTTATTAGACAACAGTAGACAGATAATAATATAAAACCAACTAGTGCTAGTACAACGGCGGCAATATTCACATAAAAACACCAATCAAGTTCAGCATTATTGAGTGATTGTCGAACATTATACACAGAAAAACCAAACACAAATAAGCTCGATATACCTACACAAACTATAATGAATAATAGATGTGACTATGTTAGATGTCTTTGATGATAATGAGAGAAAGTCAGAGTGAGTGACAAACCTCCAAATAATGCAATAAATAATGATAATAGTGCTGAACGGAATCGAATATTGCGTTTGAATCTATAGCAAATACCTGCGACAATAGCTAGACAAAGAACGATATGATACATGCGAGATCACTAATGTAAGTAATAGACTTACCAGCAGCGAGAGCCCCTGTTGTAAATACTAAAAAAATAATTTCTAATGCCTGCCAAGCTTTAATTGCATCTAAATTAGAGAGACATGACATCAACTTACAACGTTAAGTCTTAGAGTTACTTATTGCTAGGAGTATCCACTATCTAATCAGTTACCTACCACATGGTGCGTCTGGACATTCCCACAGTCCATGCGGATTACCGGTGGTACCATCATGATACCATGCATTAGGAACAGCGAATGTGATTATAATCGCTATGTCGCTTAATGAAAGGGTTAATATTGCTAAACCAAGAAACAGGTAACGATAAATATGCTAAATACGAAAGAAAAGAAATAATTAGATAGTAGACAACAAGGTTTCTTGCTTTCATTAAAATCACATTAGACTTTTCGTTGTGAATTATTCTATCACATTTTATTTTTAAGAATTACGTGCCCCACCAGAGCTACAACGACCATAAGAAAACAAGGCACATCTCTGAGGCAACGTGTACGATAGACTTGCCTCAAACCAGTTTTGTATAGAAACCTTCTGTTTGATTTTCTGTGATTTTCGTTTTCTGTACATCATATTTTTTCCATTAATAGCTAACTACCGAGCAAACACTAATCTGTTGTTGTCTGTGCTTCGGGTATCTCTGTTGGAACAAAAATAGACAAAAGAAAAATACCGACCAATGCTTATTTACCTTGTATAATGGTTAGTAATCTTAAACTTGAAGTAAGAAAAACAAAAACTTCTTTTGAGTTTTGGTAAACGGTAGAAAAATGAAGTGCCAGTAGGTAACCGAAATGACACTTGAAATTCACATCTTTTCTTTAAACATACATATATACCTTCAAACTTTTTTTTTGTACAAAACACAAAAATAAAGCATTGAATATTCTACTAGAAACAAACCCTCAAAAAGTATAAGTTACCCAGTTTTTTTTTGAAAACGATTTCGCGAACAATTTAAATTTTGGGTCAATACGTTCTTGAGAGGAAACATAGATTATGCATTTTTTCTCCAATCTTTTTGTTTTTGGACAATTTCGATAATGATGCAACAATATTTGAAAAAAACTTATTTTTTAGCAAACTCACGTTGCAGATTTAAACGAAAATCTGGTTTAATAAGGAATTTGATTAACTAGAACTTATAAAAAAGTTTTTTAGATGTCTGTAAAAAGTGTATAACTATTTTCTCGGTTGACTATTGACAAGAACACTCTATTCCTATTCATTCTTTATGGTTGATTACCTAGCAAAATTCTCTTTCCTCATGTTTCCTTAAAATCATCGTCTTTTTATTCAAACTGCAGATAAACGAATTTAGTGAACGTTTGTTGAAATGTATCATTTACTTCAAAGTCATCCTTTTCTTTTGTTATCTGTTTTTCTAATCACCAGAAAAAAGCCTTTTCATCACCAATTTTTTTTAAGCATATGACAACAATATGTTTCTTCTGTTGTTTATATTATTGAAACCAACGCTAGGCAAAATTCTTCGAATTGGCTCAACAGTTAATATTATGTCATGAAAATGATTAAAATTTTTGATGCTGCATTAATAAAAATAAATCATTTTTTCGAAAATCAAATCAAATCATAAAGCACTATGTATAAAAAAAAGATAAGAAACAAAGTTGTAGAATGAGTTATATTTTATAGGGATTATGAGGACTTCTATTTCTAAGTCCTTTTCATAGGAAAATTTTGTCGAAGTTACTAGTCCAAATTTGTTGGAGTCGTGCAGTTGCAACATAAAATGCGTGATCCCGTGTGAACTTTCTTTAATTCCACACGCGTTCACAAGTGAGAATTTCTTCTCACGTGTGTCCACACACCGTTTTACTTCACTAGTGACCACGTGCGAAAAATATGACGCGAAAAGGTTCCATGAGCAGTTCACGCACTGTCACAATTTTTACGCGTGCTCACACACACCGTTTTGCGATGTATACGTGCGACCACAGTTCATTTCACGATATTTACGGAAGTATACGCCGTTTTATATACTAAAATTTCCTCATGGGTTGACTCTGCACCATGTGTATAAAGATACAAAGTATATTTTGTATACTGTTCTTTATTTCACTTCTTTTGAAAGAAGACTATAACTACTACTGAACCTTTTTCGGCCGGATTTTTACGACCATAAAGAGAGAGATAAGAAGAATAGGATATGTTGAAAAAACAATTTAAATTTTATAGAATTATTAAATGTGGCGCACAGGTGTGAATAAAATAAAGCAATTCGATCGAACAGATAACAATATTGGATATAGTATAGCGAGTGTCGGGAGTTAAAGACTCGCGGTTTTCGCCAGTCAAAAGAGAAATAAAATAAAAGAAGAAATAAAAATGTGAGATGCATATTGAAAAATTTGGTGTATTCATCCACCCTCTTAATGAAATAGAAGACCAAATAGTGTCAAATTCTATAAGGTGGTTCTCTACGCCGATAACGTTTTTTCAACTTGTTAGTAACAACAGAAAATGACCAAAACTTATAGAATTATACTGAATATGTATATATACATATGTCGTGTATCCATGGCTATGCCAGAATAAACTGAACTGAACTGATATGCACTTTATCATAAAGAAGCAGTGTGAAAAGGTATAATTTGGCTAATTCTGTCCGTATCGATCGATTCCGACCGTATCGATTCGTTTAAAAAAAAAATTGTCTTCTAGTAATACTGGCATTTAGTCGAACTATTTGCTTTTTATATCCTAAAATCGACAGTGCTCTTCTAATAAAGGATGATTTTCTATTATGAAAGGACGTTTAGAGTATAGTATACATGTTCGATATTATTAAACATTGTTGCCAAAAAAGGAGGTGACAGAACATGATTCGAATTATTTCTTTTTCATTTTCGTGCAAGATTGCGCACTTCATTTATGTCGCTTTCTATTATCGTTAGCAGAAACATTTTTAGAATGAAAGAAGAAAAATATTTTATTTTACCATTCTTCTTTTTTTTAAGAGCAAAACTGAAAATGTATAAATACCATATATTATAATCAGCCTTTTGAGCTCTTCTCTTTTGTGTGTTGCTAGAAATTTCGATAGAAATACATATAATTCTAATTGATAAAATATACTGTAATAGCATTTGTCTTAAACACAGTAAAAATCAAACAATACTTTCTAACAAAATCAATAACATTGAAATTTTTACTGAAAACAATTGAAAGTAAAAATTTCATATGTTTCTTTCTTTTTTGCATGAAGAATATGACTATATCCTAATCTATTCTACTTGATTTTCTAATTCTATACTTGACTAACAAAATACAATTCTATAAAACAATGATTTGTCTTCAATTATTCATCAGTTGAACTTTCTCTTCTGTCTATAATGTTTACTATGAAATCAAACAAGTTTATCTAATTCCATGTTTGTTTACAAAATCACTCATGGCATTATGATTTATTATTTGTAAGTCATCTTGCACATTTTCTCGAAACACGTTTTTTAGAGGCTCACTATTCAGTTTTACGAATGTGATTTTCCATTTTTGCTCAAACACTTAATTTCTGTTGAATATTGATTTTTATCGGTATAAAATTCGAATGCCTTTACAACAGGTAATAAAAAAAAAAATTACTTATACATGACAATGTATTCAAGCTTAAATGTAAGGTACTCAAGAAAAATATTGTAAACTCTACAATGTACAGTGGATGCTCCTTTCTTTTGCAATTTGCTTTTTCCCCGTACCAATTAATAAATCAAGTAAATAAACAAATATGACTTTATTACTTAACCTTCTGAGAATCTTTTTTTCTTCAAACAACACATACTACGTCTCAGCATATAATGCTATATGAACAACAGAAAATGAGACTCATTAATTTCCCTACTAATCATGCTAGTATGCTGTGATCGAATAGGAGATGCTTTTCCAAATCAATAACCAAAATTGTATGTTATTTAAAACAAATTTTTGTTTCTATAACTATCTTTATCCACAAAACTATCAATTTACATTATTCCAATTCTAATTCACAAATATTTTTTTAAGTCATTTTTATTGCACGATGATTTTTTTTCCAAAATGTATTTTTAACCATTATATTTGTAGTTGCTCTATTACTTTTCAAAAAGGGGTTTTCGCATTCCCATTCAAATGTAATCATATAACAGATACTTACCCGTTCTGGATGATAACTCGGATATCTTGATATCATATTTGGTCGATTTGTTATATTTAATTCATTATTGTAGCTGTACATGATTATATTTTAAAACTGTCACTAGATTATTATGTTAAACTACGTGTTAAATTTTGACACTTTTTTGTGTATATGCCGTGGTTTACTGTCAATTACTCAACCTTTCTTCTGTGGGAAGAGAAATTGATTAATCACAGATATTGTAGGCGATGTTCTCCTACGATAAAAACAAAACAAATAAAAATATTATTTATGACAACAACAATGTCCGTTCTTCAATGTTATTTGAAACTTACATAAACGACAAAAGATAAAAAACAAAGAACAATTAATATTGATCATTTGAGACGAATATTGGCATTTTTATTTTAAAATCAAATATAACGAAGTCACTTTTTTTTTTCATTCTGGTTGTTGTTGTTATTGATGATGTTGTTGTTGGTTATTATTCTTTCATGATCTTAGTGAAATAAAAATAAGCTGAATTCTATACATAGCCGTATCGTAGTACCATTCGTGATATTAATCTCAAGTTTGTGACTAAACAAACAGTTTTCGGTTATTATTATTTCAAGAAAGGAAGAAGAAGAAAAAAAAATGAAGAAGACGAAAAGAATACCATCGAAGAAGTATTATTATACATTCTTATACGTTATTTTCTTTTTCTCATTTTCTTTTATTTTATTTTTTAATAAAACGATCATTTACAACTCAAGCTCAACTGAATTTTATCCATCTCTTATACGTACATACAGGTAAAAGAAGAGAAAAAAAAGTGGTAATTCTTTTTAAAAATAACAACAAAAAATCATTGATATGTACGTGTATGTTTTTCCGATTTGATAGATTCTCTCTCTTTTTGAAAAATATAATAAAATAAAAAAGAAAACAAACTAAATTAAAAGGCAAAATTGCTGGAGAACTCTGTCTTTTTTTTCACAAAATCAACTCATGGACGCACGCACACAAGCAAACAACCTCTGCAGACATGTACAAGTTTTTTCTTTCTTTATATGTTTATTTATTAAATAAAAGAAAATAGTAGTATACAGGAAAAAGCTTAAAACAACTAAGCAGTTTAAAATACTCCTCTTATTATATCTTAAAATATATAAGCTTTACGGCGTCTTTAGTATGATTAACGTATAGAATATGTGTACACACTTCTGTTTTCTCGTCTACATTTCAATTTAATTCTAATACCAATCGAGATTTAATTTTAAGTCAGATATAAAATTAAAATCTCCTATAATGGCAATCAACTTCCTTGAATAGTATAGAAATGTGAGACACCTTCGGTAAAAAAGTTGGTACCAGTCAGTGTCAGTGATCGATGGCATGCCATGCGCACCGCTGCGCACTGATTTTTACCAATGCAGAACTGAAATTTTTTTATAGGGCTCTACTTAACAAAAAATCATATGAAAAGTGCAAACTTTTGCCAGGCCCAGAGATATGGGCTTATCTATCTTAGAATAATAAAATTTTCGACATAAAAATCAACCGATATGTCTCTAAGTCTGATAAGAGTTCTCACATTTTATATGAAGAAAGTTTCTTCATATAAAATTTCTTCAAGAAACAGTTGAGCGAAATTTTATTTTATACATTGTTTCATTCTGATCTTATCATTTTTTTTAATCTAGCTCTGACTTCACACTCGTAAACATTAAACAGTCAGTTTGCATTACTATCACCTGTTAAACGATTATGATTAGTACTTAAAATTCTTATTAAGGATGGTATTTCTTAAAATTGTAAGTAAAAATGTTGTTTTGAAGAGGAATAAGTTGACTATTTTATTGAAAAGACTCATAATGTCAGAAATGATTGTCGATATAATAAAATGGCTTTAACATTGCAACTAGTAGAAAATAACACATGAAATTTATCCAATCGATAGTTGACAGTGATAGAGAGAAAAGAACGATCTGATTAATCAATTGTTTGCTGTTTTTTGTCAATCTTTAGTACAGGTCATGATCTAATATATTTGAAATTGTACGCAAAAAATGAATGTAGAAAAAGTAGAAATATATACGAATTACCTCAAATTAGGAGAGGAAGAATAGATTTTTTTTCATCTTTCATGCTCTTTTTTTTGTCGTGAAGATATACGATCTTTCGAAATTACATATTAGCCAACAACAATCACAAATCCAACTATATGTTTATACATGTAATTTTTACAAAATTCCAGAAATTTCGTTGTACTAAAACTATGTAAGAAGATTCATACCAGCTAGAATACTTTGAGATAAAAGGAGACACTTTTTGAACTTTTCATTGTACTTTTGCTAGTTCTCAACCGCTTTTTATCAGAAAAACTTGCAATTAAACATAATGATAGATTAAACACTTTTCTACACATGAATGTAAAAATCTTCTGAAAAGACACGGTAGTTTTCAAGCCACATCTCAAATTCGGGAGTTCCATGCGTGCGTATCTTTTTACCGCAAAGTACTCCGGCTATTTTACTACTTACTAGTAAAATTTTACATACTGATGTGTAAATATGAATGAGCGTGCATATTTTTCTGAATAGTTTCAAAAATTAAATAATTCTCACTTCGTTCTTCATTCAGTCCAAAATTTCATTCTCTTTTCATAGTTTTTTCTAACTTACAAGTTATTTCTGTATTAGAGAGAAAAAGAGTAAAGATACAATATCTCCAGAATCATAAAATCGGATGGACTGGAAACTAATTGAA